AGCGCTGTTCGAGCTGCAAAAGGTTGCAAACCACCTTGCCGTGGAGCTGCAACCAAGGTTAGATTGTTCCATCTGTGTTCTCGCCAGCAACTTCAATAGGAGTGACACAACTTTCATTAACAACATAAGTTTAGCCAATGTTGTGGAACTCCCCACCAGACTCGAGGCGCATCTAGGTTTAGCTTTTTCAAACAAACTCAAACTAGTTTCTAAACAAAAGCGTGCACTCCTTGGTGATTCCGGTCATTATATAGTAAAGCTATGTCCGAAGTTATACAGTAAGGCCAACTATCTTGCGCTGACAAAATGGTCATCCGGTACTGTAAAACGTCGGAACTGTTCAGCAGATAGAATCGGAAAGTCAAATCAATACCGCGTTCAGCTGATTTGTCGATTCCCACCAATGAAAAATTGTTAGCTCAATACGAGCATCTAGCGGACGGTACAAACAGTTTCATCTGTATTGCCCCATTGAGACAATCCATTTGCGGAATGACAGATTTTCATCTCTATTGCTTAAGCAACTATAGAGGAAAAAAGGACAGACTTATAAACATAAGGTACTTGCCCGTGTTAAACGTCTGTTATTAGCTCTAAAAATGGAAATAGAAAGGTTAAACACTGTATATTCCGGCGGTTTTATTAAACCATAATTTCTGTGACCTATAGAGGCTTCTAGGACAATACTCGGGGAATGATTTCTCCCAAACACTTAGCACAGAGGAGGTGGATAAAGTCAACGCTGAGTTCAGCTCCTCATCAACTAACAGTCTCCCCTGCCTTTGCTCACCACTACTGAGCCTCCCACTTTGTTTGATTCCACAAGTGCTTACAAGGAGCTCACAAGGCCATAGTCAAACAAGACTAGTGGACCGGATGCTCTATCAGTAGTCACTCTGAATGAGCAGATGTTTTAACAACACAGCTGACAGAAATCGTGCTTTGGTGCTTAACGAGTTGTACCAGCCCTAATATTTGGAAATTAGCCAGAATAATACCAGTGTTTAAAAAAGAATCACGGAAATGTCAGCCAATTGTGTGCACGTACGTACCGCTAAAGATCCTAGAAAAACTATTGATCCCTCGCATTCTCCACCGTCAATCATACCGTTGATGTCAAACAGTTTGCCTATCAACCAGGGCGCTCCACACTGGATGCTGTTTCTTATTTGGTGCAATCCATTGATTTCGCGTAACATAATAGATGCTTGGGCGCACGAATCCTATTTCCCGATTACACAAGCTTTTGGGAGCTTAAACAGATAATTACTGCCTAATATTTTGTTCGAAAATGGTGTCTTCATATGTTTGTAGCCTGATACGTGATTACTTCACAAATCGCACCCATTTCACGCAGCTGTGGGGCAGAAAGTCTTCCAATTGGGTAGCTGGATAGGTTCCTCCGCACACCCACATAAAATGTGCGGAGGCCCACAGGGTTGTAGTGCAAACTGTGTCACCGGCTTCGATGAAGGTGAACGCCTCCAATGATCATGTTTAGGGTTTGCACCATTGTCTGTTGCTTGCATTTCTCTGTTGCAATCGCATGAACAGAATGTGGTCTGAATATCGTCCAATCGTTTTAATCCCCTTTCTTTTATAACAACTTGCAGCATTATGCCACTAAAGCTATGCTGGTTTTGGTTTGGTCATGATGATCTGCAGTGATCCAATAATCGAGCTGCAGAATAGGTTGGCCCACAGATAATACGCGCAGGCCCCTAGAGAGACAGGGGACAACTGCATCGCCGCCTATCTGCTTCCTCACTGACGGTCTAAGTGATCGAATTAGACAAGTTTTAATTCAGTGGGAATCGCGGCTTGCATTGAGATGGCGCATCTAATCTATTCTTTAATCGTGTGCTTCACATCGACCCTCCAATGGTAGGTAACATTTGTTTAACTCACCATAGGCTATACGATTGGGAAGTCTGACTTTTCAGTAGTCCCATTGCTACCCAGGTGTATGTAAGAAGCACATAAACTATGAGAAGACAGATGGGGAGATAGTGAGATACTCAGTCCCTGTCTTTAATAGAGGCGATCGAGGTTCACGATCAAGAGAAGGGTTTGCAGTGGCACCTGTTGGTCACACAATTCGGCTGCCTTAGCATGACTACAATGTAGTCTGAAAATCGTCTATTCGCGTTACTCCTCATTGCTTGCAAGCCAATTGCTGACTGTATGCTTAAAATCCAATGTGCCCTAAGTGGTTTGCAAATAGTTCATATTGTTTTGCAAAAGTCCAAAGTATATTGTAAAGAGTCCAAAGTGGTGCGCAGGACAAGTCTCGCGAACGTACAACCGTGCAGCGAGGACGGCCGCACTATAAACGTGCCCTCTGATGGAGAGAGGAATATCGTGGTGGCATCATAAATCCTTCAGCCTGGAGAAGGCGAAACGAGCACTTGAGATGCCCATTGAAATCTCTTCTCCAACTGCCCCACCAGCTTTGATGTAACCTGTCAGGTAGACAAAACTGTGCAACTTCCTGCGTCTCACCGCCGATGGTGAGTGCAGGTAGGGGCGTCTGCCAGTTATGAAAAAGCGCTTTGCTCTTGGATGCTTAGAAGTGCATGCCATACTTCTACACTTAAATCATCAGGCGGTTAAGTGCAAGTAAGACGGCCTGCGGACCGTCACCCGGCAAGACGATATCATTAGCGTAATCCAAATCAACCGTCTGACTACTTATTAGGAGCTTAACGCCAGTGTTCAACAAGCCTTCTAGAGCATTTTTGAGGACATACTCAATGGCTAAGTTGAAGAGGACTGGAGAGATAGGGAATCCTTGTCGAATCCTACTGGTGAAAAGAATAGAAGGCGAAAGCTTGCTATAACCCCTAACTTTACCCGAGGTCAGATTATACCGTGCATACAGTACGGAAACGAACTTCCCGGGAATGCTATTCCTCAACTGATAGTGCCACAATGCAGCCCTATCGACGGAATCGTAGGCATCACGGATATCTAGGAACTCAACAATCGTTGGCTTTCGATACACATGGCGGACCTTAAGAATCTGACGGAGTGTGAAAATCTGATCGATGGAGCCGCGACCAGAGCGGAACCCAGCCTGTTCTTCTTGCTGTAGTGATTCACGCGTCCGGGATATCCTGCATAGAATGATGGACACCAGAATCTTGCAAACGACGGGAACCAAGCTGATACCCCTGTAATTAGAGCACATTGTGCACAAGCCCTTTTTGATGATGGGGACGACTATCGACTCACTCTAGAATGATGGAACCTCCTCTTTTGCCCAGACTTCTGAGAACAAAGCGCTGATTTCTCGAACTGGTCAAATAGCCCCCATCTTTTAATAGCGCAGAAGGTAGACCATCAGGGCCGGGCGCCTTATGACGCTTTAGGTAGCACAGTTCCCTCCAGATTTCCCGGTGAAAGGGGGGATCAGTGGGGTTAGTCCACTCAGCAAAATTGCGCCCTAGGGGAATTATATGGAGCTGGCGGCCAGGAAAACTACGAGCGGAAATGTTCAGCCCATCGCTCGAACCGTCATTGATGATAAGTGATTAGGGAGCCATTATGTTCGCAGATTGCTTCACTTACTCCAATTTGGAAGCCTTCGGTTACTTGGATGAGGTGGAACATTTTCCTGGTATTACCTGGAAGGTTAGCAAGTTCCCACCAGATCTCACAGTCCTTCTGTAAGCTCCTACGCAACGCTGGATCCAGGGATCGGCGTTTCTCACTACAGCTGGTGTTGGCTGCCATAAAGCGGCGTCTGTCTATGAGCGACAAGGAGGCCTTGGTGATCCAGCTATTCGGCGGTGACAAGGTTGAGGACCTCGACGACCTGTGCATCTGGACATCGGAATGTGGTCAATCTGTCGAGCCCATTGCAGGAGAAAGTCAGCTACTCTTAGCTTGATGACAACTCAGGCGCGAATGATGGAGAAATCCTAAGCTTGCAGTAAGAAGTTGGTGAGTGAGGTTTAGTCGATTTGAAAGTCTTACTTGAATTATAAGCTTGTGACCACATATCGCCAAGAGTAAAGGATATTCCTACTGGAGTTGAAGGAGCCGTTTGAGGTAGTCAGTAAGGTACCCCGTATACATTTCCTCCGCATGGTGATCCACGATGCATGCATGCCAGTGAAGTAAAGAAGTGGTACGAACAGTAAACGAACTGTGCAATGAGCACCCCCGGAAATCAGAAGAACTCTGTACAAGAACCGTGGTTACGAACACTGTTGAGGAGGAGTGTGGTTTGCAGGAAGAAACACTACAGCACCAAGAGCAGGTGGTATGGTTGAAATGAGCGGCTCTGGTGCTAGTGATCCAAGTTGGACCACACCAACGGCTTAACACAAACTGGAACGCACGGGTGCTACAAATGGAGGCGTGACAGAAAGGAACGCGGAAGCAACGCCTAACATTGGTTGCGAGCAATAGTGGACCACGTTGACGTTCTGAAAGAGATTCACGGATGAGCGGCGTTGTAAGTGATCAAGGCTTCTATACAAACAAACCACTCCTACTACCTCTTAGGTTTTGCAAACTTTACTGTCGTCGGTTCCCACTACTGCTAATTATAATCAAGCATATCGGATCCCTCTATGCTGTCCTGCATTTTTGTCTTTCTGATGTTTTCTTCCGTTTGTTAACCTTCACTTTACATCCCAGGTTGGGGTTGGGTGTTAACGTCCTGGCTGCTATCATATTATTCTCCGCTTTATGCAGTTGACAGCACTGTCCCTTCCTTTTTATGTTCCCATTTTCCTTTCCCACCGTCATTATCTCCAGGAACTATCTGCTCCATGTCTGCTCTCGTTCTCTTGCAGTCCCACCAACAACTCACTGTTATCCGTGACACGGCATTTGGTCTTCATATTGTCACGTTTTGCTGTTTGTGACACGCATGCTTGTACTGACTTGAATTTTCTCTTGACGTTATCTCATCACAAACAAACAAATTTAAATGTGTTGTACACCACTTTTGCCATCCGATTCCATTTGTCTTCTTTTTGACACCTCAGGTTCTTTTTCACCACGATTTATCTGTGGTATCGTTCGCTTCCGGTGGGGATCCCAGTGCGGCCGACTTTGTATGCTACGTGGCGAAAACTCCGAACGGTGAACGCATGTGCCATGTGTTTGATTGCCCACTTGGTCAAGCGCAAGATGTTATTGTCACTTTGGGCCAAGCCTTTCAGTTGGGGTTTCAGGTATGTTCAAACTTACCCATTAACTCCAACAAAAACATTGCATCTCTCGAGCGGACGCAGTTTGGCCTTTAGTAAGCCAATTTACCACAGAACGTTCACACACCAGCCAGCTACCGTAAAAGCATTTACGGAGCTCTTAATGTAAACATGCTGGCTCTTATGCTAACCAAATCAGTTTATGATTAAGCTTTTACTAGATGAGGTTTCGGCATCATATGCACCTAGCATTCGTCTGGTTGTAATAATGTTTATCCTCGATTTTCACCAGACACACATGTTGCCTTACGTTCTACGGTATCCATGTTTGTGTCGCATAAGTGCATTTTTCTCTGCTCTTATTCAGTCTTCGCCTTTTCTCTCACTGTGTTTGTCATCAATCAAGTCAACTCTCCCCTCTTTCTCAAATGACGTATTCCCATCTTTCTGCACTATTTCACTATTGTCATGCTCAGCGCTTTGCGCGCTACTCCTCCGTCCTCGCAGTGTCCATTTTCATCTGGACGCAGGGAATGTCAGCTACATCGATGTTCTCTATCTATGAGCTAGCCGATCAACCATTGGAAACACTGTTGCTTCTGCATCGTATCCGGTAATTTCAGTAGACAATAACTCGGGTAGGTGTATCCCGAGACAGGTTGTTCTGTGTGGCTCTGTTTTACAGTGAGACTTTTTCCGAAGGACGCGATGTCGCTTGGAGTAGTCGATTGCACTGAGAGGACTAAAGCATTTGGAGCGCACGACTCTGACTGGTTGATCGTGTGACACGACCTCCGAGGGCGGAATCACTAAAGATGTAGCTTAGGTCCTGCAGTGTTTCGGTGTTGCTTCTCCCAAAACTGACACCCCCCGTGACCGGTTCCATCCTGGTTTGGACTCATCAAATGGAGATAGCCTAAGCTGGATTGGAACTCGGAGCCTAGTAGTTCACAACTGATGCCTTGATCACTATGCCACTAAGATCCGTGAGCTTATATCCTTTCCTATGAACAGAAGCCTTCTCTCCTCCCTGATAAGCGAGCCTAAGGTTTTCCTCTAAGACGAATAGATTTGATATGAGTCATATATGTTGCTAGCGACACTGTTATACTGCGCTAGGATTCTCTGAATCGCTCTGGTTACTTTAAATGCAACAGCTAAATGCACCGAACACCTTCGAGTTTTTAAGCATCCTCCTTCCACTATACACTACCATGTGCGTGCCTAACGCCATTTCTGTGCAGCAAATGAACTTCGAAATCAGCGTAAGCTCCATCAAAGGTGTGCACCAAAGTGTGATCTGAGTCGGGTTTTTGTGCTCACTTGCAATGCTTCGACTTGATTCCATTGATCGCCTAGGATTGTGACTACTGAAACAATATTGAAAGTGTACTTGAAGCCATTCTATCCTGCACGTCCAGCGGCCTCCATTATCTAGGATGGAGATGCCATCACTTACAATTACATGGCCTGGCTTCGGTATCACGTATTTGGGCTTTTCTAAGGTGTTTAGACTCCACCAGGTCACCCGTTTAGCGTGATGGTATGTTTTATTGGTTTCATCACATACAGCATCACATGAAATATTCCCGCTCTGTCGCAGCAGGTTTATCGGTCTTTCTGATACCAGCCAACAGCTGTCCATATTACCGACTATACCTGTATTACAGTTGCGGCAATTCTTTGGCGTGACTAAAACCACAGCATGCGGCCAATGTCCCACTGTAGAGCATCCCAGGAGACTAACACAAAGTAGCATCAGATCCCTTTTTAGTTGGCTTTTTGCATCAAATATCGTCGGAGGCGTACATGTATCAGTCAAAATCGATATTGTGAAACGAGCCGCATTCGGGAATCGGATGTCACTATTCAAACTCCTCATTCACATAAACTTTTTTTTACCTTTTTTTTGGGTTCCCGTAGTTCACTGCATCGTTGACTCACGCACACTCGCTTTTTGTGTGAAACAGATGCATACCGACTAACTATGCTTCCTCAAAGCTCGGGTGGCTGGTTACGTAATTAACTTTTCCTGAAGCCATCTGTGCTTGAGTTGGCAGTGTTGCAGATCACAGCAGTCTACTGATAACCTCAAGGAAACTGCTACCGGTCAGTTGCATCCGTTATCGCTTTCCATGGCATTTCACCGCGTGCATTCAGCTCGTCTGTGACCACTCGTTATCCATAATTGACCTGCAACCACTGTTTTGAATTTTGCACAGTTGTCCAACTGATTATGTGTGGATAGTAAAGATACAAGACACACCATATCCTCCTTCTATTTGTGTCCAAAATAACTTCGGCTTTTCCAACTTTCCAGGTTTTTCAACTAAGTTGAAGATCTATTCAGTGGTGGACAGCGAGTTTGGCAACTGTACGCGGTTTTCAGGGGACTTTTGAGTGAATTGCATCGAAGACAAGTGTTTGCGACTCCAAGTTGAATAGTCCTATAGTCCTGAAGACACGGGTCATGGCTTACTTGCTTTCCTTGATCCTCGCTGCGTGCCATAGTGGACACTGCGTTCGGGAAACAAAATTCGCAGCATCATTAGCAACACCATATTGGTTTTTGTTATCGGCCGGTGGCCGAGTGGTCTGCACGTTTGCTTTGCAACCATAAGGTCAGCGGTTAGAATCCGCGTAGGGGTGGGCGTCCTCGCGGTATACTCAGCCCGCGCGCGACTGGTGGTGGTTGCGCCGCAGCGAAACCCCGGTACGGCGTACAGCTGACATATTATTATTTTATTTTATGTATCTCACCGAGCAGTGGGAGCTCTTGATCACATTTCTCTTAATACGACATGAAATCCCCTTTATACTTTCAAGTGATAATAACAGCAGACTACAGTGGTAGGATGGCAATGTCATTACATGTATAATCTACGACCAGGTACGTACAACTAACAAAGCATTCAGATCGAGGTCACATGAAATCGGTTAGTGCCCGACGGTTTTCCGATTGGCGCATTACACGCTATAACGGTGGACTTAGTGTCACCGCCAGTTGTTTTTGAGCGCAGTGCTCGGCGCTATCGATTGATAGTTATGGTCTCGACACAAAACCAACCACGATAACAAGTAATGCACCAATCGGAAAATTGTTGGTTTCTAATCGATTTCAAATGCCCTTATTTTCACTCCTTTCTAGTTACATGTACGTGGCCGAACTGTATACACGAAATGTGTGTCATCCCACGACCTTCCGTCCTTTTAATGACATTTGTGACAAACGTCGCTGGTTGAGGCCTGATGAATTACTTGTTCCCCACCTCGTGAACAGTTCGGCTATAGTGCTTATGAAGAAGAATATGGCATGAAGTTCACGACCACGCTTTGTTTTTCCTCCTCCATGAGATTGGTAGGAGCTTTTGAGGCACATTTGAACTGACTGTTTTGACACTTTGTGCGTAGGGTTGTCTAGTTTTATTCCTTTACCGAACGCCTTAGCATGTCGCAGTATGGCTTATCCTCTGCAGCGGATCAATTCCGACGATTTGCCGCTCATTTTGGGGTCCCTGAGGGCCATTCTCCCACAATTGGATCTATCTCTACTCCTGACCGTAGGACGCGAGTGTTATGTGAATGTGAGCAGTGGTGCATTGTGATGCTGCGTGCGTGACTGTGCTGCATGTTGTTTTCCAACTCTTTCCACTACCTACATGCCACGCGTCAGGGAGCCATGCGTCATATTCATAGATTCAGCTTTTGTTCCGTACAATTTTACTCTCACATTGCATGTCGGAAGGGTTCACAGCATCCAAGTGCAGGGCTTTGTGATTTCTAAGTACCTACCGTCTGTCTTTTCGTCTGGATCCTTTTTGCATTCTCTCTGTATTCGTGTTCCTCAGGTCATCCGCTAGTTTGCCCAGGCCCTGACGCTTGTTTTGTGCCAAAACTTGCTGGTGTCGTTTGGTTTCCTGTTGCAGTTGTGTCATCAAGACATGCTTTCCTCTTCGCATTTTACTCTCATCACCTTCGCCTGGTTGGTCTGCCTGTTTTATCTACTCACATGTCGTGCATTTCATGCATTTCCTCAGATATATATTGTTCCTTCTGACAACTCATCCCGCATTTCTGCTCTATATTCACTCCCACTTTTATTCCCTATAAGGAGTTCAAACGTAGCCGAAACTTGGATTCAGGTTCAATTTCTTCATCGAAGAGGACGGATGATAACAGTAACCCAGTGCCGTTTTCCGATTCCCTACCCACCCACTGTTCAGCTCTCGCATTTTCCGGTCGTAATACTTTAGTGAGTTGAGTTCTTGGACACTAATCTCAATTTTTCTCCCAACCACATGGACTTCATTGGCAATTCTTCAATAATTATCCTATACTTTACCAAGAGATTCAAGCTGCTTTTTTGCTTTTACTTGTTTGAGAGCAAACTGCGGCTCTCCGAGTACGTTTCGACGGACGCCTGCGACGACGCTGTGAGCGCATAGGTATCCACGAACTGACGAAGTCAGACATTCTGCATGCTTATCGAAGTACGATGGAATTCATGTTAAGTGCACACTGGCTCCAATTGAAGAGCACTGGTCGCATGTTCATCAAACCCCTGTTTAACAGCATGCAAACCTTACTGTTACTAATGAGTAGTGGGGATTTTGGTATAATTCCAAGGGGATTCATTACACTCCACTCTCACTCAGCAGGCGTTGGCATGTATGGAAAAGTACCAGACAGCGCTATTTCAACCTTCTGGGTCTTCATGTGGTAAATCTGATGGCCAACCTGAACATACGCTCTCTACGCAGTCTTTGGAACTTCTGGATGCTCGCCGACATGTTCCAGCTGAGAGCGAACGCAACGAGGCTCTCAAAAACCCCAGTGCAAAACTTCGCGATAGCCTCTTGGTCTCATCGTGCATTGGAGATGAAGACAGTCACTACTGTTGTTACGCATTGAATGTTATTCCGTCTACTATTGATGAATGGTCAGCAGGAGACCTGCTGTCATGGACACCATATGCGACGATAGTGGACAGTCTATGCGCATTTTCTCCCAACATTCGTAGCATCAATCTGAGCACTGAGAAACAGTCTACTCGGCCCTCACTACTAAATTCGTTCCCTGGACTGTCTCTTTGGATACGCTTTCTCGCACAAAGTTCAGTGTGATCGAATTGCTGAAGCTGCATAAGGTCGCCTGACCAGATGAATTTCCCCAAGTCCACTTCGAATTCGGGTGATCTGCTTATGTGAAGTAATCACACGATTGGTTAATGAAATTGCGCAGCAAGAAACTGCCTAATCGACTGGAGCCGCTCTAATATACTTTCAATTATTAAGAAAAGTTCATTTTCAACATGCGGTAAGCATAGATAGATTTGTCTGATCTTAACTTCCTCTAAGTTGCTTGTCTCAGTTGTCCTCCATAGACTAAGTGGCACACGTGAAAGCTAGGTTCTTGAGAAACAAGCTGGATCTCGTTGAAATCGAGTCTATATGGGCCACATCTTCACTCTAAGTCAGTTGTGAAAACAGCGCCATCTTTATTTGTGACCCTTGTAGTCGTGTTTCTCGACATCCAAGGTGGCTTCGATTCGGTAGATCGCCGCGTCTTTTTGGACCGTTTGCTCGGGAAGTGTACCTTATAAATATGTAGATATCTTGATAGCGCATTACATACCTAGTTCGGGCATATCAAGGGCTTATTGGAAATTTTCACCGCCCTTCAATATCACCAGCGGTGTGAAACGTGGTGCCAGATTTCATCTTTGCTTTTTAACTTAGCCATCGACGAAGTCATGGCAACTGCATTTACTAGGCACTAATTGCAATACATGGAGTTACTTCCAGATAATCTATTTCTTGACTTGTGGTACGCCGGCGACATTGTCCTTATACGCGATAGCTGAAAAGCGTGCAAAGCAATGCTTGACAGACTTGCACTGGCTGTCAACCTTTTCGCTCTGCGCTTCGCACCCTCCAAAAGCAACGCTTTCTCCCAGCATTGTCATGGACAGCCCCATACTCTACTCTTGGTGGTGATCAGCTAGAAGTACTTCAGAAATTTTTTATCTGTGCAGCTGTATCAGCGCTTATGGAAGATATGATGACGAACCGTATAGCAAAAGCAATGTGCTTCTGCCCATCGTCGTTACTTGTGATGCCGACGTGACACCATTTTGTCCAGAGGGAATGAGTCTCTAATGTAGCGGTCCATCCGACCGTACTGCACGGCAGCGAAACCTAGCCCATGGGATCTATATACATGAAAAGGCTGATTACTTTTGACCATCGCTTCCTTCGCAGTTTGGCTCAACTCTGATGGAAACATCGCATGAGCAGTGTGTGTTCTGTGGCTTATATTTGGTGCAAATACTGCGAGTGAACCGCTCAACAGTACTATATCCTTCATCCTCATCATCAGCAACAACAACAGCAGCAGCACTTCAACCACTTGAACTCATGCTTCGCTTCCGTACAACAACGGTGACATACGGAAGGTAGAATAATAAGAGGAGCAAAGGGGTACCTACGGTAAAACTCTAGTGCACTCAGGGTCAAGGCGCCCACACCTTGTTAACAAGACACCATTACAAACAGCTGGCTATCGTGCAAAGATAAGGCGGCATCGGCGAAACAGCTTCTTTGCGGCTTTCACTGCCCCGCGTCATAGTCATTACCCTGCAGATAACAGCACCAAACACACTTTAAACAGGCAGTTCAACTACGATACGGCCTCAGACGCACCACTGGTGTCGACTACGAGCCATGTCTTGTAACGTCTTGAACCAAGCACAAGGCGGGTCACGTGGACTCCTGCCTGGAAGGCGAGACGAATCAACGGCACCCAATTTGGTCGTCGGTGACTTCATTTTCCGTTCCAAGTTAGTTTTTGCCCACCTCGGATCTTGCGCCACCCTACATCTGGCAAACGAAACAGCGGTGACGGGCATACGTAGTACGAGTCCAAGCCAAAGCAACCTATTCAGTGCTATCTTTTGTTCTAAGGAACTAGCTTGGTTATCAACTAGTACTCGCTCACACACATCATCGTTGCAGACACCCTGGTGCCATCCAACACCAGCAATCCTTCGCAGACAAGGATGATCAAAGAATTGAAGGTGTCGCAGGTCCTCAGCTCGGAGAGGCAAAGTCTCGCTTCCATAGTGTAGGACGACCCTCGCTGTGGCCTAGTAAACACTGAGTTTTAGCCTGAGGGAAACAGCTTTTTGACGCCACAGACACCGCAGGTACAAAAAGACAGCTCTGGCTTTTGTAATGCGTGAACTGACTTTAGTTTCTATGCGCACATCGTTGCTGATACAGCTGCCAAGGTCAGTGAATTGATCAACCGCCTCGAGTTCTTCGCGATCAAGGGTCAAGGGGTCATCGAGTGGCTGGTGGTCTTGCAGCAACACTTTGCACATTGAAGGTGCAAAGTGCATACCAAATAACGGGACCACTCTGGACAGGCTATTCAGGTTTGACTGTGCCGCCCCAACATCGTCGAAAAGCAAGACGATATCGTCCACATAATCTAGGTCAACTCACCTTTCACCAGGCAGCACTTCAACGCCTACATCTTGAGATTCCGCAAGGAAACACTCCATGATAGAATCCACGACGAAATTGAACAAAAACGGGGAAATCGGACAACCCTGACGAACACCACTTTTGGTAGGAAAGCTATCCGATAGGACACCATAGACCTTGACGTAGCTTGTAGTGTTCGAGTATAGAGCACGAAGGATGTTCACATATTTCGTGGGAACACCTTTCCGCGCAAGTATTTCGAACAGAATCGATCGATCGACTGAATCGAACGCACTCATGAAGTCGAGGGATACAGTTATTGTCTGGCTGCGGTGCCAGGCGCCAATGGTCATGTGTTGCGCCTGTCAGCACACCGACTCCCGCGTCGTTTGTTATTTGCCCGACTGGGGTGTGGATGGAAGAAGAAGAAAGGACGTCAAACGACGGCTTAGTCAATCAGAATGCCAATCCTCACTTCGAAACGTTTCTCGGTTGGATGCTCCTGATGTTTTTGTTGCGATCGCAAATACGATAAACGCGCTTGGTTGGAGCCCCTTGTTGACTTGTAATCGACGGACCTTAGCACTTACATGTTTAGCAGTTTTCCGTTGCTATTTGTCATAATTGTGTGAAGTCGCAAACGTGCCTAGTATTACTTTTATGGTGGTAAACACAATTATTCAAGAGTGTTTGCTGTCTCGATAAGTGAGTAGCGCACAATTTCATTTTTGACCAGCGTAGCCGAATAAAACTGCACTGATTAAAGTACGATTATGACATGAAAGCCAGACATTTCTGGATGACATCGGCACATGTGACGAAACCTGAGCTTGCGGTTTCACTTCAGAATAGAAAGTGTTTCAAAACAGTGGAGGCGTATGAACTCATAACCATCATAGAGTCTCCGAGCATTTATCTTGACCAATGAAGTGATGCCAAGTGTCTCTTGACCGTTGCAACGAGACTGGACATTGATGTGGTTCGATGGTTTGCGTACCTGTTTGACCCATTGAGCTATATTGGGTTGTGCCCCTGGCCCCCTTGATAACTACTCCTGCTAATTTGGAGGTCTAACAAACTCTGTCTCCTGGTCCTCCAGGTTGGGGTTGGAAATATGATGGCGTCCGTTTCTGTAATGCTGAATCCTTACCTCTTCACCGCTGCCTTTCGGTCAGGCTCATTAACCAAAGGCTTTGCTTGAAGACTTCAGTCATCCTGCTGTCGATCTCTGTGCAGTACCCCAGCCAACATGCAACAATGCCTTTTTCTTCAAACTTCGACCACATCCTGCATCGGCCGTAGCGCAGATTGGCAAGTGTCACCTTATTTGCTGCATACAGGGTTCCGAATAAGCGAAAACATGCTACTGTTGGCGCCTCCCTTTCTTTTCCACCTGTCTCACTTACTCCCATTCCGACCCCAATTACTAACCTACCTTCTATACTTCCTTTCTTAATTTACAGCAACCGAAGTGCGACTGGAGTAGAACCATCTGCAGCCACCTTCACACACCACCCACTGTACGCCTATGCTCAACAGACTAGGCTGTCCCTTTTTCGTTGAAGCGTTTAACGGTCGCAGTCTAAGTCAAATTGGTCAACAGACTCCACTCGCACGCAACTTGGACACGCTGGGATTTGATGTGTGTTGTGTATCCAAAACTATGGTGAAAAACCCTCACGGTGTTGTTGAATTAATGGGGCCCGACTTGTCCTCTCGCTGTTAGTTGCACACATCCGGCGACGCTGGTGCGGCCATCACTGGT